TCGACGCATTAATTGTTAAATGTTCGTTTACCTCCTAACGTCCTAAAGCATCACATAACTGACTTGTCTGTTGAGTAAAAAAAATGTAGGCAACTAAATAGCATACTTACTTAACTATTCCTGTTGCTGACTGGACTGAGAAAAGAACAAATCAAAGTCCACTACTTCTTAAAAACACACTAAATAAAACATGTGCCCTTTTAAAGCACTCTACTTATGCAATTCTTCCTGAGCACTTCTGCCTCGTAACAGAAAGAAACATGTTTACGTTGGTCTCCATCCACATTACGGGCGACCGACGCTGACAGAGCCCAAAACTTTCAGTCTCCAGCAGTTTACATTGCGCCTTTACGACGACTCCGTTATATAAACACACACACTCGGTCATCGTTCTGCATCAACAATAACACACTGTCATATAAAAGCATATTAAAAGTTAACAAAAAACGCCTTATTCTCACTTCTGTTAGTGCAAACAGTAATGAAATGCCTAAAATGTTTCTTGTCCGCGGACTCGGGCTCGCAGCCCGCTCGTTTAAAATGGTGGGTAACTTAAAGCTAACAAAACGCGCAACGGCGAGCAACTTCAACACACAAAACACCTCTCACCTTTCTCGGCATTTGACGAGAGTATCTCCTCCTCCTTGGGGTTCGTAACCTGCGTTATTATGGACGTGTTGTCCATGGAAACGAGATGTTAGCTCCCTTTTCCAGCGAGTTCTGGCCGTGTCCGTGTCTCAGCTTGTGCTAACAGCTAGTCGAGTTAATGGCAGATCTCCAGCCAGCGGCAGACTGCTGTCGCTCAGGCTAGCGTGGGCGAACGGACTGCACCCGACCACTAATCTTTGCGTTTTGTTGCATTAAAATACGCGTCGCGGACACACATTTGATCAATCAGTCCGTTCGGATGCGCATAACGAAAATCAGTCGCGCCAGCGCCGAATGGCTAACAAGTAGTTGGAGGCTGGATTGCTAATATAAGATAGCGTTAGCGAGCTGACCATGAAACCTCAAAACGCTAGTTAGTCTGAATAAATGACCCGCGCGATGTCTGAACGCTTGCGTCTAAACTCCTGGAGCTATAGCGGAGAACGCCGACATCTGCGCGCTTAAACGATCGTCAAAAACTGCCTCTTCATGTTTTCCCGTGTTTTCTGATCTCTGCTTCCAATATGGAGACGGCGAGTGTTTGATATTCACGAGATAGAGCTGAGGAACAGCAGGAGGAGGTATTTTCTGGGAACCCCCTCCCTCGTATTAAAAATAAAAGCACGGCCGGGGTGCACGCAGTCGCCCAATGACAGGAGTCCGTACAAAGTTGACTGATTTCTTCATCAACGCCTTGGAACTAGACTGTGGAGCTGCGACATTTAATCACAAGTCAAAAGAAAATACACGAACCTTTGGTCTGGTTTATAGTTTTCAGCTCTGGTTCGTAATCATAAGAATGAAATGGGAAAATAATACAGTAAGAGAAGAAAAAGAGTGAGATTTAGAGATTCATGGGAGTAGCTTACTATATTGATTGTTTTGATTTCTTCCTATTGTTGTTTATATTGAGCAGCTTTAATATGCGAATAAATAATGAAATTCCACGCAATTTATAGTAAAGAAATGGGTATGGAATGTAAACAGGCATCCGCATCACACAAAATCCAGTAAAAAATTGCCTGAGCTTGTATTACAAAGCGGAAGCAGGCTATATTTCTGCTTCCCTGTGCGCAGTTAATTTCACAACATCGCATCACATGTCTCCATCTGCTGTTCAAAGATATTGTTGCAGTTTTGTAAATAAATAAATAAATTCTTTCAAAGTTTTTGTTTCGCATGTTTCCCATGATCTCTGTCTCTCCATGCTATGTTAATGATATGAAATAAATAAACAAATAATTAAATAAATAAACAAACAATCGGGTCTGTATTTTATGCTGTGCCAGTAGGTGAATTCAATAGAAGAGCAAAACCTAAAGGGTTTTAAGAACACACATGAAACATTTTCAAGCATTTCAATGTAAACCAGTGCATTTTGTGTTTTCGTTTTTATTATATTTAAGTGTAAACTGATGAACCTATAAGGTATGTAACATGTATTTATTGTTTCGTAATTATAGTTATTATAATGTAGGCCTATATTTTACAGTCTCGAATCTTTGCTGTGAACTTTCTTCTTCTGTATGCATTTAGGCATTTTACACACTGTTTCAAATTGTGGGGCTGTAATCAATAGTTATATCAGAGCAAATTGCATATAGAAGCACATTTTTAAATGTCCAGGTGAGTTGTCACCTGTTTTTTCGACTTTCTATTAGTGTAATTCAGGTCCTACCTTTTATATGGTACGTTGCAAATTTTTGACATAACCAAGAATAACAGAATCATACTGAGGGAGAAAATGATGACTTGCTGGTGATAATTTAAAGTGTTTTGAGAAGTGTGCATAATATAGATAATAACAAAGGATGATAGATTATAGGCTATTTGGTTGACTATATCAGTCTTGCTTTTCCTTTTATGCACTATAGCCCACAGTTGGAAAATTGCTACGGTGAAATACATTTTTTTAATGCTTTTTAAATACGTAAATTATGCCAATTGGCTGTATTTATTTGTTCAAAAAATACAGTAAAACGTCTTTGAAAAACATTTAAAAGCCTTAAATATTATGAACTTTTGGCCGCAAGAGTATTGCCAATGGCTGAAGTAAACAGATGGTTCATCTTCATTGGATTACACAAGGGACTGCTTTAAGACAGTACAGCATACTACACACGGATCAGAAGATGACAAAAGAAGGGATTTCTTCTGCCACCTGTACCATGATGCGCTCGTTCTTGAATTTGTGCGCGTTTTTGATGGAAGGTTCTGGTGCCACCCCTCTGCAGTTTCAGTCCGTATTATAAATACACTCTCTACACACCTCCCGCAACATCCACACCAGCCACTGCTGCCTTTCACAGTGCACCATCGGCACTGGGAAACCGGGACGGATGTATTAGGAGAAGCCCCTACTCACCCCCCTTTTCTTTTCTTTTTTTTTTTCAATTTTGTGGGGGTTGACATCTGTCTTCAAACATCTGAGCGGCTGTGAGGTTAGTACTGAGCAAGTGCACTTCCTTTTGAATTACTGTACTTACTGTACACGGTGCTGTAAACAGATAGAGCCCCACGGATCATGCGGCGTGTGGGCGTTCAGAGCTGTGCAACATCATTTACATTTAATAGGACTTCAGATATGCGTGCAGCTATATGAATTAGTTGAGACAAATACTCCGATTTTAACTGAGCAGGTACACGCATGGTTTCTTAATGAATTCAATGTTAAAAGGAAATTGATTTGGGAATTCAGTCCTCGGGTTTTCACACTCCTGAAGGATCTCCTGATGTGTGGGACATCGCATTGCGCTGCAGCTGCCGCACTGGACCATGAGCAACTGCTCGGGCTAAAATAGGAAGAGGTTGTACGGCGCAGCTGACTGCGCTGTTTCTGAGGAGCCGTGAAAAGAGGCACTCCCATTTAAGTCACTGACTTACAGTCTTGTCTTCTGAGAAGTAGATTGGGTGTCAACCCAAAATGTTTGTGTTGTTTTCTTCGTTTTAGTTTTGTTATATCTGTATCCTATTGTAATTGGATTGTGATTGCCAGGCGGAGGCTGCATTGTCTTGGTGTTGACGTATAATTTGTAAAAATATAAATAAAAAAAATAAATATGTGTTTCTTATACATAATTGATGATCGATGTGTGTGAACTTCACAATAATTATTGTAATTAGTATGGAGTGTCTTCCCTGATCGAAAACAGCGTTTACTTTTATTTTTACTGTTGGCACTTTTTAGAGAGGCTACATGATTTAATACAGTATAGTTTACAGCAGACACAGTTACAAACATAATTATATTGTTATTTCACTGTAACGAACGAACTGCACAAATAAATGGCACATTAAAATTTAAAAGGCTCACATATAGCTAAGTTAACATGTTTTTGCTGTACCATTTACACTAAAGTTTTAAAGCATTGCAGAGCACCACTCCTTTATAAATTGGATTTTGCAAACTAGTTATGCAATAAAAACTTGATTCTGGGTGTCAAAACCCGAAATGACAATAGTGCCTCTTGACTAGGCTACATCAGTGTAGTTGCAGTTGTAGTGACCGTGAATAATAACTAACACGATGATATTAATTAAAAAAAAATCATGAAATTTTGATTCTAGCACCTTATTACATTTATCTGCTCAAATCGTAACTTTTTTAATCTAAACTCAAGTTCAAATTTGTAACCTCATTAATATTAATAGAAACGTCACAAAAGTCTCCTGTGATTGGACAGTTATTTTCCCGCTGATATCATTAGGTGAGAATTTCGCCGGCTCCTTCTCCGGCCGCTGTTGCTTCATAGTATTACCGTGGAAAATTTAATTTTCTTACAGCTTTAGAGCTAAACTTTGTAACTAAACAGCAAATATACCTTTTAAAGTATTAATATAGTGTACTTTTGACCTGGTTATAAAGTACCCAAAAGAAGAGAAGTATCAGTGGATATCTTAGGAGACAGAGTGAGTGACGTTTGACCTGTAACGGCTGTTAGTGAGTATGAGCGCGAGGCTAATAAAAGTACTGTACAACACGGACAAATATTAAAGTAAAAACGAAATTAGGATTTGACATCCTAATAAATCACTGTTTTATGGACATTTGACATATCAAATAGTAAAGTCAACCGTAAACAAGCTTGTGGAGGTATTTGTATCTGTACGTTTTCGTTGTATTTACCGTATTTATTTCCTGCAGTGGTCAATGGTTAATTTTAGTATAGAGTGTAACAGGATTTTAATGTTAAGACTTCTCTTCAGGTTAACCATGGGGATCAAGACAGCCCTTCCCAAGACTGAGCTGTACCTCTACACTGCTGTCCTCTCTCTTGCGCTCTTATGGGCAGGCAGCTGGATCATTGAGGCCTCCAGTGGTACACTTTATTTTTATCTCTCGCTTTTTCTTTCTACATTAAAATCACAGAATTATGTTCACATCAATCATTAATGCCCTAGAATACAACGACTAAATGTGCATTTGCTTCTGTTCATTGTAAATCAGAGCACTGTAGTATTATTGTTTCTTTGTGGGCAGACTTGCTTATTGACATCCGAGCTGGTACTGGAGCAAACTAGCCATGTCCTGCCTCTACCTTTTTAAAGATCACATATTGATTATGTCTACTTTTCGGTTTGGTTTATACACAGGAACATCAGTTTAGACCAGGCTCTAAATGTACCAGGTAGTCCTACATTGATAACCCACAACAACCCCTAACTCTCATAATCTCAAAATATATTTGAGAGTCTGGATTATCACAGAGAAGCCTCTGAATATGAAAGCTGGCAAAAAATTTTCATGTAATGCTATTAGGTTTTGCTCTGGAGCTCACCCTGTTTGCTGGGGAATCATGAGGATCTGATGTCCATTTTACATATTTCAATAATACATAGATTTCATGGTTAGCTGCCTGCAAAACTTCATGCATACACAGTACATATTGTACTTTTAAAGCAATTAAAGTTTGACATATTATATATATAATAAGAACGAAAGCTTTATCATTTAGCCTGAAACACACCTGCTTTTGTGAAACTTTTCTTTTTTATTTGCAGAGAATGTTAACAGAAAGGCATTTAGGGAGAATGTGAAACCAGGGTGGCACTACTTTGGCAGAAAAATGGCAAGTATATTAGATCCTCTACTGCTGTAAACACATTTAAAAGCCACCTCAAGACATATTTGTTTGATGAGGCCTTCACTATTTTTAATGACCAGTAGGTTTGAGCAGATGAATTTGTGGTGTTTATTTTGTTATTATATTTTTTGAACTTGTACAGCATTTTGGTACACTCGGTTTTTGGGGTTGCTACGTGCTTTATAAATAAGTTTTGATTTGATGTATATTACATAAATGACTCTGTTTAATCATATTCTGACTCTGATTAATCACTTTCTGTGACTGATATTCTCTGTCTCTTCAGGATGTGTCAGATTTTGAATGGGTAATGTGGTTTACCACTTTCCGCAACCATATCCTGTTTGCCCTCTCCGGTCATGTGATCTTTGCTAAGATCTGCTCAATGCTGTCTCCAAAGGTACTGTATGGGGTTATTCACCTTATGCACAATGATCAAGTCATTTAAGATTTAAGAGTGATAATATTTTGCTATTGATATTTTATGTGAGTGTTTTGTGAATAATATTGCATGATTTTATGTATGGACTGAGTCTGAATAATCAATAATAGTAAAAAAAAAACATTCACAAAAACACATTTTGATATTAACCATGCATGTGTTAA